ACGACGACGACTACTACTACTTACTACTGCTTACTACTACTTACTACTACTTACTACTACTTACTACTACTTACTACTACTTACTACTGCTTACTACTACTTACTACTACTTACTACTACTTGCTACTACTTGCTGCTACTACTACTACTACTACTACGACGACGACGACGACGACTACTACTACTACTAACTACTAACTACTATAACTATTACTACTACTACTACTACTACTACTACTACTACTACTACTACTACTACTAGGTTCTGAGTGGGGACTCTATATATATATATACACTCACACATACATACATACATACATACATACATACATACATACATACATACATACATACATGAGTAGGGTAACTATACCTAACCATAAACCACAGCAGAAAACGTATAGCCCGACTTAGCACTTAGCACTACCCATGAACCTCCCAGTAGTTCGAAACGCCTCACACACAAACCCCAGCATAAACCCGACTTATAAATCCCTCCCCCTAAACCCTAATCTCTATAAACCCTTAAACCTTGAATCCTAAGCCCTAAAACCGCCAAAAACAAAAGGAAACAATTAAGTCCTAAACCTGAAATACTATAAACCCCCAAACCCTATACACCCTAATTACCCCTTCTAAACCCTGAACCCAAAAAGCCCCGAAACCGAACAAGCTTACAGCATTCTTGGGGTTTCCTGAGGCGGCCGCAGGTGACGACCAGGAACTGGCCCGACTGCTGCTCCTGGGGTTTTCTAAGGGGGCTTAGGGTTTTAGGGTTTAGCTTTAGGGTTTAGGGTTTTAGGGTTTAGGTTTCAGGGTTTAGGGTTTAGGGGTTTAGGTTTTCGGGTTTTAAGAGGGGTGTTATGGGGCTGAGGGGGTTTAAGGTTCTACCTGGACCCCAAAGAACCTGCCTTTTTAGAGCTCCTCGTTATGATTTCCTTATCTAAGTCCTTAAAACTTAAAAAGGTAGGTTCTTCAGGGTCTAGGTCCTTAGGTAGGGTTTAGGGCTTTAGGGCTTTAGGCTTTTATGGTTTACAGGGGCTGGGGGTCTCTGTCTAAGATGTTAAGTCGCAATAAAAGCTTCTTGGAGTAATCGGGGTTCGATAGCGAATAATGCGGGGCTCCCTTATTCTGATACCTTGAACTATAATTATATAAACCCTAAACCCCAAACCCTAACCCCTGAACCCTTAAGAGTAAGTTCCATGGAGGCGTCCGGCTTCCTTATGGTGCCCTGCTCCTTGACAAGACCCCAAGGCTCAAATGGGGAGCAGACATCCACCAACGAAACCACCGTGGCCATACTCCTTTCATGGTCGCAGTCGGTCGGGGATATTTGGAAATGGCAAAGTTCCTGCTCCGTTACTTTGTCATGCTTGGGTAGCGCTTTACATGTCTTTCTAGGCATTTAAACTCAATAAGGAATAAAACTGTAGGTGTTTCCTACTAATGATCCCAACCATGAACTACATAGGTAAGGGGGCAAACCCTCGTGATCGCGACGCCCGTGGAATTCCAGTTGTAGTCCTGGCCCTGGAAGCGCGCAAGACTCGCATGGCCAACTGGCTGCTGGATTCGGGGCTTGCTGTGGAGGAAGCTACGTCTGGTTGTTCAGCAGTATACTTGCTGCTCTTAGCTTGTTTCTGGCTTCCTACCATACAATACCTATCCAAGAAATCATCATGTGTGTGTATACGACATCTATATATATATATATACATACGTACATGCATGTGTTGTTTTTTTTCCCAATGCTTTGCTGAACAGCCCAGGAAGGAGTGCCACCGACCAACACCGAGCACGCGGACCTTCTCTCCATGGCCTTGGAATGGGTCGTTGCCCGGAGGGTGACAGGGGCCGAAAGGGTTCTAACATGCAGAGGGATGTTTCGCACCGCTTTTTGTTTTAGTGCCTGACCTCCTTCCTTTTGGGATAGGTTTTGGGGTTTTTAGGGGTCTGGGGTTCAGGGCTTAGGTTAGTCCTTAGTTTGTATATAGGTGATGCCTGCCTTCGACGGTTTGGTTGGGGCACCCCAGCCTTCATCGCCGAGCGTGCGGGAGTGCTTCGGTCGATCATTCGGCAAGCGTTTCAGAATCGTTTCTGCATGCGGGTTTAGGGTTTAGGGACTGTTTCGTTTGCTGCTAGCTAATGCTGCTTTTACCAGAAATGGTATCCGCACCCCCTGTCACTACAGTCCATGATTGGCGTGTGGCTTTGGTTTTTCCGCTTTTGCGAGGCCGAAGTTAGAGCGTGGCAGCCACATGTGGGTAGTTCTCCAAACCAGTGTCCCTCTTCAGGTCCCCAAAATAGTGCGGCCCCCTGAAAAAAAGCAAAAACGGACCCTGAAACGTATCCTAATCGAGAGAACTACACACAGCCAGCTCCCTAAACCCTGAACCCTAAACTCTTCTTTTGCATGAGGTACATGAAGGAATGGTCAATGGCTGAGCAGCTGCTACACGAATCTGGTGTGGATCCAAAGATCACCCCGTGTGCACGCTCCTGTTCTGCCTTCGACGAGTGGGGAGACTCTCTATTCTTCCGTCCCATGCGCATGTTCATCTTCATGTCTGCAGCGGAACGACGCGTGAGAGCAGAGTCCAGTCGGTTGGTTGAACCGGATGCTTTGCAGCAATGTGGCCCTAAACCCCGAAACCCTAAACCCCGAAACCCCTAAACCCCGAAACCCCGAAAGCCTCAAGGAAGTCTCCACCGATGCAGCTTCCAAACCGAAGGCCCCCACACTTTCCCAAAACATCCGCAGAACCTTGACCCCATGTGAGAGTTTCGGAAACTAAGGGGTACGTTGTTTTTTGGGTCCTTATAATAAGATCCTACTGTGTAGGTCCTATTTTCGGAAACCCACATGGGGTAGACAGTTGGCCCCAAAGTACTGATGTAGGGACTACGTACTGTAAGGCCTAAACATATGCAGTGTTGGTACATGGACCCTTTGGGTGGGAGTAAGCCACTATAGTAGCCATAGTATACTAACCGTTACTCTAACCCTTGGCATCAAAATAGCCCAAGAGTCCTTGGGCCCGAAAGCCTTAAAATATAAGTCCTTTGAGGGTAAGGGTAAACCCAGACCCCAGTATGCCGAGGTGCCGTCAGCTCATGGAAAGAAGTTCAAACAAGCGCTCTCCAAGCGGGAGCATCCGGGGCAGGTTAGTGCTTAGAGATTGGGTCTTTTTAGGGTTTAGGGTTTGGGGTTTTGTTTAGGGTTTACGGTTTAGGGTTTAGGGTTTAGGGTGCATCTTTTGACTTGGGTTTCCTTCTGGTTGAACGGGGAGTAAACCCCCTAAACCCTGCTTTGTTCTTTCCTTCCGAAGAGCGACCCAGGTACGCAGCCTCCTTTGGTAAACGTCGGCCAGCATGCCGTCTGCCTGCTCGCCAGCCTGGTCGAGCTGGAAAAGTCCATCGGAGGTAGACTCAGACTCAAACATGTGCGAGGAGGTGTTGCAAGTTGAATTTGGGACTGTAGTGGCAATCTAGCGCGTTGATGGTTTGTAGGGCAGAGTTGCGATTTGGGGTCTTAATCGTTTAATGAATGGTTGGTCGCTTGATAACTTTGTAGATAACAGAAGCTTTCTTAACAGCATCCACTTTGGAGTTGCTGTTGGTGGTGAACTGGTTCGACAAGAGTTGTAGTTTGAGCTCCGACAAGTCCCCAAAGCGACATCGCAGAAGATTCGCTGGGACTACCGATTTTTGATGTATTGGGGTTGCCGGTCCATCGGGCTTAAACCATATATGGCATATGCAGCAAAGTCCATCGTAGGATGCACTTGCATTGTGAGGGGAAGGTCTTCCCTCAACAGTGATCACCGCTAGATTGGCCGGATGGTTTTAGGCTCTTGGCGTTGGGTTTAGGTCTGGGCCCTAAACCCAAAACCCTAAAACCCTTAAGCCCTAAACCCTACACCCTAAAACCCTAAAACCCTAAAACCCTAAACCCTCAAAACCTAAACCGTAAGTTTACTTGGAACTGTAGAGTTTAAACCCTAAGCCGTAACGAAGGATTACTTAGAAACATGGCGTTGCAGGTGCCCTAAGGACGAAATGAACCCCAAAAGTGTTTAGGGTTCCCATACCATATGAGGGTTTCCGAAGATTAGGGTACCCTATTTTGGGGTCCTTATAATAAGGATCCTACTATGTAGGGTACTATATTAGGGTCCCCTGTTTTCGGAAACCCCCATATAGGGATTCACAGTATAAGGGTATAGTAAACCCTAAACCCTAAACCCTAAAACCCTAAATCCCTAATAACCCTAAACCCTAAAACCCTAAACCCTAAACCCCTAAACTATAGGGCCCCTACTTATAAGGGTCATGTGGTCTCCAAGGTGTAGGAGGCCCAACGTTCTGGAGCCCTGTGAGTCCCTCCACATGTGGGGCTTTAGGGTTTAGGCTTGAGGGTGTCAGGGTTGAGGGTTTAGAAGTTTAGGGGTTGTGGGTTTAGGGGTTTAGGGTGCTAGG